TTGATTTGAATTAATAAAATAAAATATTAAATGATTTTTAAATTTTTAAAAAATTTATAAACTTGATTTATGCATTAAGAATTTTAAATTCAATGGTTGAATTGTTAAATTTCTTTTCACTTTCCTTATTTTCACGTGATTTTATTTTATTTTAATTTTATACTATAATAATTTAATCATTAATGAGCTTGAAAGTTTTTTAATACAAAAAATTATTTATTATTATTTAAAATTGTCTGTATCATTTAAAATATAATAAAGTAAAAATACAATTAATATTATAAAAGTTTGAATTTCTTATTGTCCAATACTATTTATATGATTTTATTTTTTTAATTTATTTTAAGTCATAATAAAAAAACAAAAAATAAAGTCTCTTTATACTTATGAATAATTTTACTTAAATTTTAAACTACATCGCCTTTTATACTTAATTTGTTTTATTTTTCTTGAAAGTATAAACAAAATAAGAAAAATAATCATACATGAAATAAAATATTAGTTAAATTTTAAATTGTGTATTTATTGCTTGTTTATCCAATTTTATATTATTTTCTAATTATTCATGAAATAAATATTTACTATGTTTATAATTTTTTTAGATTTAAATGTCAAAATTTTATGGTTCATTAAGTTTGTAAATTTTCATTTTCTCAACGAATACAATGAGTTAGTTTGAGTTGTATCAATAGGATCTTGTCATTTAAAATTGGAAATTGATTTTTTTCCTTATCAATTTAACATAATCTGAAAGAAAAAAAAAAAGAAAAAGATAAATATACACGTTCAAGTAACTTTTATTTTACATCCATGTAAGACATAAATGTCACAACAAACCAAAATAGGAAAAAAAAAACACAGTGACTAATTTAATTAACTTCCTAGCCCTTAATGAGTTTGAGAATAGATTTACAAAATATAAAAAATAAAAAATTAATACATTATATAGGAGGATAAATATGAGAAAGTCATAGACATTTCAACAAATTCGTTGAATGTGAGATTATAATATCACAAAAATTATTTTTTAAAGAGTTATAAATCGTAAATTTTGTCTAATGAAGGTTCTACTCAACAATATACAGTAGGAGGTATGAGACTCTTATACATTTTATAATATATAAAAATTGTTTAATAGTATGTCATGTGTACTAGTTAAGTTCACCAATTAACTTGCGTATAAATAAATTTGAATGAGTTGAGTCACGTTTGACTCAAATACTCAAAAAATTTAAATTAAAATAATTGAGTTAATTAATTTATTTTCTTTATAAATATGATTTATGCAATATTCTAAAGTTGACAATCAAGGATTAATCTATGTTCTTGAAACTTGACTTTCGTTAACCAAATATTATTTCAACACAAACGAAAATCAAACCTAAGAGTATCTTGTTGGTCCTTTGTGTCTCAGGGTTGACCTTACAACCACTAGACCAAGAGGTTTGATTTAATTTGAGTTCAAAGGGCCTTTATAATTCTTATTAGGTTGTTATTATAAACAAATTGTTGGTTTGAGTAAAATTGGACTTGGATCCTTTAAGGAATGTCTCAATTTTTTTTTTATACATTAGAAAGATTAAAGAATCAAATTAAGATCTAATATGGGCAACATCTATTCTGTCAGCTAAAATTAATAGATCTAACTGAAAGGGACACTCATTCCATTTTGTCCATTTTGTGAAGGGATCATCATAGGAAATTTCATATTTAGCAAGCCAATCAACACATGCATTTGCTTCTTGCGGTATGATGTAGAGTAAGAGATCAATATTGAGAGATAGGTCTCGTATTAGAACAATCAATGGATTGTATAGGTGAAAAAAACTACAATATTTTTTAATCAAATCTAAGGTACATTGTGATTCAGATTCACATATAACAAATTTAAAACCTTCTCGTCAAGCTTTTGATAAACCATGATACATGACTTCTAACTCCACTTTAAAACTTATAACAAAACCACATATACTAGCAACTCTAAACCCTAAACTAAAATAATTTCTCAAAATTCCTCTAAAGCTTGCTACTCTAGGATTGCCAAGAGAGCTTCCATCGATATTTATCTTTATAAAAGGTGCATCTGGAGTGTCCCAACCAACGTGCCTACTAGCTTTCTCTTGAGATGTATATTGGAGAGTCATTTGAATGCTTGAGTGAAGGGTATGAGTTTGGTTAACAACATGCCTTTCCCAAACTTTGTAATTCAAAGCAACATTGTTCCTTCCTTTCCATAAAAACCTACTAGCTACTGCAAATAATTAAATTGTCCTTTGAGTTTTCCACACTGATTACCGACCAATTAGTACCTTAGAATTGTTGTACCCGGTTCATCCTCAGTTGCTCCCATACTTGTCTAGATAGAGGACAATCACAAAACAAGTGTAACAGATGTTCATTTCCATAGCCACAGGTGTGGAGAAGAGTCCAAAGAGAGGTGTCTATAGACACAAAAACTATTAGTTGGCAGGCTACCATGGAAGGTAAGCCATAAAAAGTATTTAATATTCTCAGGTAATTTTAATTTTCAGATCCAAGATCATTTGCTGAATTGAGAGATACACAATGATTTCTCGGCAATGGACCATTTGAAATATGAGTTGGAAGAATAAACTCCATTAGGAGACTGTCTCCATATGATATGATCATCACAATGTTCATGGAGAATAACACTTCGAAGATAATTTTTCACCTCCAAGGAAATGACAATAGCAAGCTTTTCGAAATGCCAGGAATCATCAGAGTAAATATCCTTTAATTGCAAATATTAGCACATGGGACTAAATGGCATAAAAATTCATCACCAAACCATTTATCATACCATATAGACAAATCCCCTTTGCCAATCCGAAAGTGGAATCCGATGCGCAAGTGATTGGTGGCTTTAACAATTGATCTCCAAGTGTATGAATGGAATGCCCCTACAAGTATTTGGTATCCATCATTTGAACACAGCCTTTTCTTTTCATGCATCATATCCCATATGTGTTTCCCTAGCAATGAGTTATTAATATATCGAGCTTCATAAATGCCTAGACCTCCACCTTGTGGAGGAACGAAAATGATCTCCCATTTCACCCAATGACATATTTATTCCCCCAAATAAAGTTTCAGATAGAAAAGTCAACCTTATTACAAACAAATTCAGGTAGCCATAGATTATTCATCATGTAAATTGGCAGAGAAATAAGTACTAATTGTGCCAAAGTAGTTCTCCCTACTCGATTTAACAAATTCATTTTCCAACCTGCCAGTCGAGAGGTAATCTTCTCAAGGATAAAATTAAAGTCATTTTTCTTAACCCTTCTAGAGAGCATTGAGAAACCAAGATACTTACCAATTTGGTGGGTATGTTTGTATTGAGAAATAGATACAAATTGATTGGCTTTCACATTAGAGACATTCTTGGATGCTAAAAATCTAGTTTTTTGGACAT